AGGAGGAGGGGAGAAGGCTGAGGTGGGGGCTGAGAGCTGAGGAGGGGGAGAGATGTGAGCTCCCAGGGATGCCCAGGAGTGAGTCCCTCAGCCACAGCTTGCCCAGGGGTCTTTGAGTGAGATATGAGGGGGACGAGGGGACACGAGGAATAAAGGCTCCTTCTGCAAAGGGTGAGGGGAACAGCAGCCCACAAATCAAGGTCTTCATGCAGTGTGTGTCTTTGAGGAGGGAAAGGTGCTGCTGAGCTGTGCTGACACCTCTTTTGCAGCGAGTTTTATCAAGGGTCATGCATTTGTGGCTGAGCTCAGTCAGTGTCCCTGTGGCCAGGAGTGGATGGCTGTATTGGTGTTATTTATCTGCATCTTCCTTGTAGGCAATATGAAAGGATAGTGGTTTTTTCTGAGTGATTTCTTTTTAATGCTTACAGATGGTTTTTTTTTTTATTGGTCAGTAACATTTCAGGATGAACATTTGGCTCTTCTCCCCTGTGCCTTTGCTGTAGAGACCCTCAGGTGCTGCACACCTGAACATGAGAGGTTTGGGACTGACCAAGCTTTATCATCCCCTGAAAACTCTTCCTTCTTTAACGTTGTTACCCGCAGGGTAAATTAAGAGATCTGTGCTTTAGGATTTAATATAAGTATGGGTTTTGTTTCGGGAGGTTTGGGAAAATTATTAGAGCTGAAAAAGAAGTAGGAAAGAGTATTTTGAGAACCACTTTGGAGAGGAGGGAAACGAACACAATATCCCAGAAAAAAAGTTATAAAAAGGAAAGACAGAATGAGAGGAACAGACCTGGGATAATCTGTAGATGAGTCTGGTGTTATGTAGGAATTGAAAAGGTATAATTAATTAATAATGAATTAACAGTTGTTCTAAGTGGAGGCAGAAAGGAAGGGCAGGTGTACTTTATTTACATATATGTGAAAGGCCTGTGACATTTCATTTTGGATTGTGACACTTTGATTTGGAGGTCTTATAGGACTCTGGTCGACCTGGGATAATCTGTAGATGAGTCTGGTGTTATGTAGGAATTGAAAAGGTATAATTAATTAATAATGAATTAACAGTTGTTCTAAGTGGAGGCAGAAAGGAAGGGCAGGTGTACTTTATTTACATATATGTGAAAGGCCTGTGACATTTCATTTTGGATTGTGACACTTTGATTTGGAGGTCTTATAGGACTCTGGTCCTGTTGAACTCAAGGTGAGGAAGCACTAAAAGTTCACTTAGGGTAAAAGGATTTAGAGTCACCCCCAGTATCTTTTGTTGAGGTAGAAGTGCCTCCCCTGTGGTTTAGGCACAGGTGTAGCACTCAAGACATGCAAATAGTGTTCACCTTTCTACCTGTAGATGGTGATCTACTCCTGCCACAGATTTATATCGTTAACTTTTTTTTTTCTCCTTGGTCTTGTTGTTAGGCCACACCTTTCTGTGAATAGTTTGTGTGGATGTGGTTTGAGCAGGATAAGCTAAGTGTTACACGTGTCTGTCTGTTAGTAAAGCAACAGCTCAGTACTGCTGCTGGCTGGGATTTTATTTTGTTGCTTTTTTTTTTGGTCAGGAACAAGTGTATTAAACTAATTTAAATCAAGTGATTCCTTTCTGCAAGGAGAGTTGTACCCATGCTCATCCTGTCTCTCACTGTCAGGACTGGAGTAGTTTCTTCCTCACTTCTTTCCTAATTCAGTCTGAAATATCTTTGAGTCTTCAGGTCAAAATTTGCTTATTCTGTAGTTAGGGTTTTTGTTTTTTTGTTCCTTGGGGTTATTTGGGGTGTTTTTTTTTTGTTTGTTTGTGGGTTTTTTGCATAGGGAAACATCATTGTTTCCCTGTTTCTTGACTTCTGACTTTGCTGCATGTGGCCTTTAATCTGACAGATTTAGCAACATTCTTTATTATTACTGGATCCTTAAGGTGCTCAAGTAAGCTGGATGGGAGGTCAGCCCTCCTGCCTTTTTGGGTAGAAGGATGGTGGAGGTCTCTGGACCCTAATTAACTTTTAAATATGTTGTAATACATTCAAACCAGCAGTGATGCCTATACCAGAGCTGCTCTTAGAATCATTTGGTTCTCATGTTCTTAACTGAAAAAATAAGTGGCATCAACTTAGTAGTGGGAGATTTGCTGCCTTTTAAAAACATGTTTGCATTGCAAATTGTGTGGAGCTTGTTGAGGTGAGGTTCAAGGAATTGTGTGTGTATACGGTGCAGTGTTTTGGTATCTGAATTCTCTTTGAAATCTTTTACCCTTTTTCTGGCTGTTGTTTTTATGCATTTTGTCAGATGCTTTTTCAGCTTCTAGATCAGGAGTGGGAGAGATCACTTCTGGGCAGCTTTTCCCTCATGGTTAGGAGTTCTCCAGCACCAAATCCCTTGATGGCAATGTGTTTCCAGGCGCAGGATAGTGACAGAATGCTTCTGGCTGGGGAGAAAGCAAGAATGCCTAAGGAACAAACCCAATTTTCTGGTGTTTTTTTAGATCCCTTTTGGCTCATCTCAAGGCTCAGCCATGGAGAAGTGGAGCTTAATGACAATCACTGTTCTGCTGGCACTGACTGTGCGCTGGGCTGTGTCTCTTGGGTCCTACTCAGGTAATGCACATTCACAGCCTATGGAACAACCACAGGGAGGTCAATTATGGAGCTTGTGGCAAATTAAAGTCTGGTTTTGCTTACTACTTCTTTATTTTTGTTTATGTAAAATCATACATAGGAGCAATGTGTTATTTCAAATATTCTCATATTTTAGTCCCTAAGAATTCCTTTTTCTTATTTTTTAAAGTGTGTACTGATTAACTTCACAGCTGTTTGGAACAAAACACTGTGAAAAAACACCACAGCTTTTTTTTTATTGGTCAGTAATGTTTCAGGATGAACATTTTGCTGTTCTCCCCTGTGCCTTTGCTGCAGAATATTGCAGTCTGGTTGTATATTTAATATTGGCCTTTAAATTCTGTGTCGGAGAGCTAAATCTAATTATGGTTATAAAATGGTGCTGGTGATAATGAAGACAGTGTAAAGGTGACGTGGAGTGAGTGATTACACTCTGCCTTGGAGCTGTACTTCCTTAAGCTTGTTTACAGCAACTATATTCTGTTAATGGATGAGTTTTTCTCCTCCCCGTGTCAGGATGCCTGCAGAGAGCTAGCAAGTTGTTTTCCAAGTCTCTCTGTGCCTTTCCTACACTTAGCCTGAGCTTGCACAAAGCTTCTTCTCTGCAAATTTAAATGAAAATAGAAAATGAACCATTGCTTCCAATCCTCATCACAAGCTCAGTCAAATTGAGCTCTGGTTTCTGAGGAGCTGCAGCTGCTCAGGAGTGTTTCGATGGTTTTAAACTGGTCATTCCTGAGATTAATATAATTGAAGGAATTTGCTTGAAGGTGAGTTGCATGTCCAGTTGTTCTGATACAAGTTTGCTCTCTGAAAATGCCTTTCTGAGAGATCTGTAGGTAATTGAAACTCTTGTACCCAGCTATAGGCAGAAAACACCCTGTGATTTGCCACGCCACACTGAACTTCTGTTGCCCTGCAAGTGTTTAGTTACAGTACTAATTTAATTCCAAACCAATCAAGTGAGTCTAAAATAATGCCTAAGCTAAAATGACAATTTTAAGTCTCATTTCCTACACAATGGTCATATAACTCCTTTTGGAATAGGAAAAGCTGAATCTGATCTAGTCCAGCAAATTATTAAACATGTGCTTAACTTTGAGCATTGGATGGCTGAAAAAAGACAACCCTGAGTGTTGAAAAGAACTGTCAAATGCAGAAATACACTGGGATAATTTTTTTCCTCTTTGGCTTCCTGCAGGTGTGATAAACCTTTAATTCTGCCTCATGTAGTGCATAGTTTTGGATTTCTGTATTGTTTCCACTCTTGTTCCTTGCCACCTGACTTGCTTTTGGGTCTGCCTCTGGAATCAGGTGGGAAAGCAGACAGCAAATACCTGGTTTTGAAAGGTTGCTGTTTATGATGACCTTGGATATTATTGAGGAAAAATTTGGCTTCATTGATTAATGCATGATCTGTTTAATGCATTGCCACCTCCTCACTGAGTGGCAGCTAAATACCTGTGTGGAGAGGCAGCTTTGGACCCTTAAAAATGTCTGTTTCCAAGTTAACAATAAAACTGAGTAAGACCACTCTACATGTGAGGTATTTTTGACCCTTTTAAAACATGCTGTTTTGATTATTTTTTAACTCAGTTTGGCTCTATACTTGGTGCTTGCTGTAGATGGAACCTAAATATGCATTCTGAAACTGATCAGTCGGTGCATTTGGCTTTTCATGACCAATCCTTTGGATTAAGATCTCTTGATCATTTTGAAGCCAATTAATTTCTTTTCCTCTTATTTTTACCTTAGAGATTGAGAAGCTGAATTACAGCATGTGATTATATCTGTGTGTATACACACCCAAACACACTCAACTTTGGATAACACCTGTTCTGGTATGGCAGATTCTCTGCTCCACTGGATTTATAGCTACAGAATCAGCACTGATAAAACTATTCTCCAGTGACCTCACTTATCTGGGAAACTTTGGGGAATGTGTCATACAGTGGAGACAATCTACTCTCTCTACTGCCCAGGAATAAATTAACAGAGATAATATGTCCTTTCTGCTTTCCAGGGATAAACAGTACATATCTGAGCTTGGGGGACTCCTACAGACATAGATCAGGTGGAAAAATATAGATGGTTTTCCTATTAAGGAAACTCCTCAATCTCTGGCTCATGTCAGTATTGTCCTGGGAGTACAATCAGTTTTGGTTCTCAGTGAGCAGGTTAAGAGAAGGAAAGAAACTTGGTGGTGAAGATGCTTAACATGCTGCAAGTGTCAGAGTTAGGCTTGTGTTGAGGGAGTTGTTTAAGGAGGCAGTGAAGTATTTTCACGGATAAAGCTTTTGTTACTTTTCTTAGCAAGGTGCTATGACGTGGCCGGAACGCGAGTGAGAACACTGACAATTCTATACTGAGGAAATGAGTAGGTCACACAACATCAGTATAATATTTTCTTGTTTCAGGGCAAGTACCACATTTTTCATCTACACTTGGAAATGACTTCTTTTGTCAGAGGAGGAAGCAGTTCTTCACAGCACAGTGTCTTTGTCTTGATAAATGCTTAGTGCAGAAATATCCAGAAAGCCAAAGAACACAGAACTTTTTTTCCTCCCTCTTAGACTGTAGATGAGATCTCAATTTTGTTCTCAAATATCATAGAGGAATGGAGAGTAAAATCAGTAATATTAATATGCAAATACATATCTGAGGGAAAAGCAATCTGCATGAACCAAATGAATTTCTAAATGCTGTTCTCTCTTTTTAGGTGCAGGAAAACCACCTATGTATGGAGACTATGAAGCTCAGAGGCACTGGCAAGAAATTACTTACAACTTGCCCATTAGGCAGTGGTAGGTGGTGCTGGGGTAGCTCTAAGGGTAAATGCAATGGAACTTTACATCTTTACACCTCCAGATTTATTGTTCAAGCCTGTGTCCAGGTCATTTTCCAGCAG